TAAGGAATACTGTATAATCATTCTTGCAACTCTAATAGGAGTAATAATTGTTAGTTGGGATGTGTAATAGGTGCGCAGAATTACCAAGATTGGAAGCGTATACATGTACTGAAATCAAAAAATTAAGATAAACCCTCCCCAGCTCCATACAACTACCAACCCCCAGCTTGTTTGGCTCTACTTTTTTCAAAAACGATCAGGATCCTCTGAAACGTCAAAAAATGAAGTTTGTGTGATTTGTACCTTTTCGTTTTAGGCCTTTTTCTGTTCCGGCACTGGTCCGATTTGCAAAAACTAAGCTTTTACGTCATCAGCATAGTGTAAAAATTTCATCGATATTCGAGCGGTACTTTTCAACTTATAGGCGGTTATAGGATTGGTGGACAGACCACAGACCGACAGATCGACAGACAGACAGGTTGACGGAAATTTTAGAAAATGTTCCCAATTACAATACTTTCGCGCTAGTAGACGTGGGATGTAGAACAAGAAAGAATGTCCAGCCATAACGTGACTAGTTTAATAGCATGAACAAGCTGCATTTTTAGACGGATTTCTCTAATTTCGTGGCATAAATACAGTGACTTGATTAGGGTATCTAAAAAAAATTGGGAATTTTAAGATTTCAAAATGTGATAATACATAATATTTGAACGTTTTAGGAAACAATGAAGTATGTGTCTCATTGCTAGAAGACATCTTATCATGGAGAATTGTTACTTTGTCTATTAAAAAGGTGGAGATACTAGCCTCACTTTTATTTTTAAGACATAATAGATAATTAATATCTCAACCACTACTCCACATAACACTGAGGTATGCAGCTATCTGTCAAGGAAGCAACATTATTAATCATGGGGAGGGGTATCTCGAATATCGCATAGAACTATCAAATCGTCTTCTTGGATTTCGGAATCGACCATGTGACAATTAACGGCGTGCTTAAGATCTTTCCACCTTTCGAGAAAATAACAGATGACAAAGTAAGACTTTACTTTAAAATGCATATTTTTTCTTCGTTATTAATAAGAATAATAACAATAATGTTTATTTGCCATTTTACACAGTATGAAAATACACAATATGTTAGCAAATTAATATTCCTGCGCTCACAGAAGGTACACACCTTGTGCGTGAGTTTAAATTATTAGCCTAGTAATAAGAAAAAAAACAAAACATTTTCTATCATGTGTAAAGTCTAATCATTTGCTCAATCACTGTTACAACAGTATACATCCCTACAAAAGTTTGATATATAGTATACACTGAAATGCCATGTAATTACAATGAAACATACATTCTTATTAACTTATTTTGTTGTTCTTATTAATTATATACCTATGTAGTAGCTTAAACTTAATGAGTGTTAATCATTGTTATACCAAAAAAATATAAATAATGAAGTTATTATTCATCCTTACACATTGTCATTTATATAGTAAGTATTTGTTACATCAACATATTGATGCTCTCTTGCTGTTGGCAACCCTTTGATCCAGTCCTTTAGCTTTACTTTGAATAACTCCAAGAAATAAGTTGCTTCAAATCCTGCGGTATCATATTATAAGATCTGGGTCCAAAAAATACCAAGGATCTTTGCATTACATTTTTGTCCAGTTTTGGTACTTCCATCATGTTTTTGTTACGTGCCTTATATTTCTGTTGAGTAAATATTTTTTTGTTGTTTCTATTTTTATATTGACACAGTATTATTCGACAGAAATACTGCTGATATATGTCAAAGAATTTTATTTCCTGGAAAGGTTCTATAGTTAAGTAACGCAATGGCTTATTATATATTACTTTTAAGATAGCTTTTTGGATGATCTTTAATGGTTTTATGTGAGAACTATTTGCTCTCTCGATGCTGTGATAGTATAGTTGATATGAGTCTCTACTAATGAGCAGTATGTTATCTCTAAGGACTTGATATCTAACATTGCTTTTAAGTACTTTAATTTATATAGTATTGTTATTATTGTCCACCTTTTCACAACATCCATCTTGAAATCAAATAACTTTGCAAAAGTGACAGCATAGTGACAAACGATAACAAGGATCACTTAAATAAAACACCAATTTACTGGAGCGTTCGTCATTTTCGTGTGACAAGTCTCGAATGACATTCGATAATCCCCTTACACTGATCGAATACCCTGTGAAACCGTGAACATTTTCAAAATATACTCCCATAGGCATGGTGCGGGATAATACTAAGCAGTTTTTGATAATGTCTCGGATCAATACTCGATCCAAGCACTCTCTGTTCATCTGATAGAATTGTAACGCAATCCAGCCAGTAGAGATGATGACGAAAACGCATATATATAGGTATCAAACAGCCATTAAATATCGTGTTCCTATGCCGCAATATAAAGTGATAGGACTGACCAACTTCAAAGACCTGTACCTCGGAAACTGTTCTTAGAAAAACTTTGGGCTCATGGCTCGTGACCGCTTTTGTTATAACTGCTGAGATACACGACATACTGAATTTGTTAAATAAGCTGAAGCCTCATAAGGTTTTCTGTGGGATGTCTTCATCAACATCCCACTTGTACCTTCTTATATTCGATATTGTCTGTCAGAGACGTCCATACGACCTTTGCTCTTGGTTAAACCCAGTTGTACCTTTTCAATTATGGAAAAGTCAAACACCAGTCAGACTCACGAAACACAAACCGACTTAACTTTTTGAAATAGTCTTTCGTGATTTGCGACCATGTAAAGTTCATATTGAAATAAAAAGAAATTATCTGCGATCATAAATCTTTTCAAGCATATCGACTTATGAAGTACTAGCTTTTTGCGCACGCTTTTACACGTGGAACGTGTAGGTGATGCAACTACTATAGAAACCAAATTTTCCAAGAATGCAAGTGGGCTGTCAATTTACTGCTGCTATCCAGAATACAAAAAGTGATCATAGGATTACTCAAGAACGTGATTGGCGTAAGAGCCATATCGTTAGTCGTTCATACAATTGTAGGACGCCTTGATTTTCATAGTTTTCTACTATCCCGCGTCTGCGCTCTATTTTGAGGTTATGTCACAAATACCTATCTCCATCAAATTGTGTTCGCTTTGATTTATATCATCTGTTTTATCAGCCTGAAATTTTCTGCAATTCAAAAAGAAAATAACTTCACAGTAGGAGAGCGCTGACGCTGACATGCCTTTCTGAAGGGTAGGGAAAGCTATGAAAATCAAAAAGACTATAAAGGTGTCCTACAATTGTATGAACGACTGACGATATGGTCCTTAGTAACAATTCCAACCGAAGTACGAAGTAGCGGGTAACAGCTAGTGCTAAATAAAAAGTCTGTGTCGCTGTCGGTTACAGGTTAAGAAGGGTGTTGGTTGGCCGGCACGGATATTAAGTGTCTTGAAAAGTAACATTTGTTTTTTGACATTGTTTTGGTTTTTTTTGTGAAATTATGTAGGTTTGAAGTCATGATACTACAGATGTCAATATCTGGCTCTGATGCGATGTAAAATCTGCTTCAGAGATGGCATTACTGGAGGTCTAAGCTGTAAGTTGTATACTATGGCTAGAAGGAAATGGCAATGCATAGGTGTATAGTGAGGATTTGTGTACTTATATGTGTTGATGATAATTCCATTGGATTCTTGTCTCAAATACACTTACTTGAGATTCAAAGCTAGAAATTAGTTGTGCATCTACTTTTTCTTATCCATTCTGGAAATTACATATGCAAATTTGCTGAATTTTAAAAATGAGAAATAATTATTTGCACTGTACACTGTCGAATTACATGCTTACAGTAAATACACACAACGCGGGCACGGTGGTGATTTTCCGTAATTCTCCTCAAAGGTTTTGAAAACAAAAAAACACCTAAAAAATCGTAATTTATAACTTTGAACACCCCCCTCCGCTGTCTTCAGAAATGGCAACATATAAATAACCCGTCGGGCACAGCTAATAGATATACTTCATTGGCAGCAATACACATAATCATTCAGATGCGATCTTGCTATTCAACCAACTTTCTTCACAGAGATGAAAGCTACAGACTCGGCTTCACAAAACATATGCAATCTATAATGCGTGTAGTTGAGTCATTCCTCCATAGATGGACGCTCACAATGATCCTAGTGAGCAAACGTGGAATCACTGTTTGCACCCTAAAAACTACTCAGTCTGCAAGATGACATTTTACAGGTTTTTTACATAATACCCGTGCGGGCTGTTGATTGCAAAATTGGCGATGACTTTGTGGTTAAGGCCATGCCCATAATCTTACTCGGATGTCAGTTAGTTAGTGCACATATTTTTACGACTCTCCATATTGTGATTCAGACGTGATGCTGACGGACTGGTTAGACAACCAGATTTATATATAGAGAAGATACCGCACCACACAGCATTAATAACACCAAGCCAATCCAAATTAAGACGATCACGCTACGAAAACAAATGTCGAAACGCAATAAATGCAGTATACAAATGCGTCAGTTATACATTTACTCATTTAGGTCGGACCAACGACTAAGGGCTTCCTCGCCAGGCACCTCATCTCAAATTCCATTAAGCAGTTTAAGCTGTAGCTCGTGAAATAGGTATTTCGAAATTATTTTCCCGGATAAAAGGTAGCCTAAGTGCTATTCCAGTCTATAATCTATCTCTGAACCAAATTTCAACGGTATTCGCAGGGATATTATGTAAAAAACATAAAGACGTAAAAAACCGACGAAATCTCATCTTGCAGACTAGGTAGTTTTAGTGTACAACAGATTGTGCTAAGTTAACATCTTGTCGAAAAAACCAACGTTATGTCACAAAAATCCTACGAAATGTGAATGAAGCCGACTATATACATATATCACTTTTCAAGATACATAATATCCGTTCGGTTCAGACATTTTGGCGTGATTGAGTAACAACTATCCATACTTGCTCATTTATAATATCAAGTAGAGATATATAATAGGGATAAGTACATTTTCCATGCTTACGTAACCTCTCCTTCTTTTTCAGATACTGACAACCAACGGGTGATCATACACGTTCGCGATGTGAACGATGAGCCTCCGTACTTCATCAACCGTCCTCTGCCGATGCAGGCAGTCGTGCAGCTTAATGCACCACCAAACACACCTGTCTTCACTCTCCAGGCTCGAGATCCTGACACGGATCACAACATTCACTACTTTATCGTCCGAGACCGAACGGGAGGACGATTTGAGGTAGGTCCTTGTTAGACGAAAATATAATTTTAATAGATAGTTTAAGCTATTGCTCTCATCGTAAGAGGTCAATAAAAATATAGGTAAGTGGACGTAAGTGAAAGCACTGGTGAAGCAGCGGAGTACAAGACAACGATTTGCCGGTGAATCGAGAAGATCGCATCTCACTATTGACTAACATATTCCGCCAGAAGGTTGCGCGAAAACGGGCTTTTGTATTGTGGCGTCTCAAACCAACCTATCTGAGTGTTCAAAAAGACTGCAAATTATCTCGAAAATTGTGAGTCTAAAAATATTTCATCTTGGCACAGGCGTAGGATCTTCCGTGGGTTGTCTGAGGGTGACATCGAATTTGGCCTTGATATTGACATTCAAGGACATTTCAAGATCAAACCAGTTCTTTAGAAGTGACAAGGAAAACTGACAGAGTGGAACATTTGAAGATCATGGCCAAGATCTGATACATACTAAAAGAGTTTTATTTTAAAATGGACCCGACCTGTAAATGAGTTTGAAGGTATCATTCAAGGTCAACTCCAAGGTCACCGTCAGATAACCAGGGAAACATCCTAATACAATGATTCATTCAGTCTAAAGATATTCTATCATAGATGTTCGACTTTCCGCCGGCTGTATGACGGCGACATTGAATTTGGCGCTGACTTTGATATTCAAAATTATGTCAAGGTTAAACCGTTTTTTAGAATTGACACAGAAAATTGATAGAGCAGAACTATTTACGTTCGGATGAATCGTTGACCTCAAAAATTTGGTCCTTTGATGGCCATGTCGAGGCTTAATATCTAATCGAAAGAATCCCATTTAAAAAAATTTACCTGACTAACCTAGGTCAACGGTAAAGGTCGGGGTCACCTTCAAGGTCACCATCAGGTACCAGTGAAAGATCATAATACTGTGTTTGGATAGATCTTTTATTAGAGAGACTATTTTATCGATTAGATATTATTTGTCGTTTACTATGACCATTCATTACATGTCAAGGACTCATCTAGACGTTAATTTTTCCACTTTCAAAAATATAGTCATATTTAAAGAAATGGATTCAAAAGGGCCATTAATGTCAATGTCAAGGTTAAATTCAAGGCTACCATGAGATAGGCAGGGTGAAATCCTACACCTATTCATGGACGATGTTTTGAACATATATAAATATACTATACCTATACGTGTCGACCACCGCCATGTGGTATCAGCGTTGTAACTTCTCAAATTGTTGTCCGTTTCCGTCGGTGAGAATTGCTAAGAATACGAACCTGAGGAATAATTGCTGGGGAGGTTGAGAGGTGACCTTTATTCGGGAGATTGATATCTTGCTTAAGAATAAACAATTTTCTGAAAAGGAAAATTGAGTGCTTTTATCACTTTAAATGGAAGTACTGCGATCCTACTTGAAAACATGGCTGTATGCTCATTTAGCCAAAAAATTACCGACTTTCTGGTTTCGCTGTAAATACCCGTTATCTGGACCGTTGAGATATCTTTAGATCGAGTTGGTGTAATAAAATCTTTTGATCAGCATCGCTTAGAGAACACAACTTTAAGGTCTGGAGCAAATACATTTGAATCATTTTTCCATAAGAATGGTGCCTGGTTCTTCTATTAAAAAGGACAACATAGAATCGGGTCTCTTCTTGAAGAATACGTTAATCAACCTTCTAAGTGACTAGGTGCCATTGAAGTTTAGCTTATCTGTCAATTCGTCTTCAATAATATAAATTCATTGCTATAGACCTTTGTAACATAGGCAGCCAGCTATTTGAATAGTAACCCATAGACACCCACGATTTCCAGCATGCTTTCTTATCGTGAATTTTGAACACTGTCTGAAGTTGGAAGCTAAAATTGTAGAACTTAAGCTGATAACTCATTGCTTTTTTAACACTTTATTTTTTATTTACATTTTTATCTTTAGACTTGATTGGTCATCTATGTTCCAAGCTATATATACTCAAATTTAAAGAAAAATTTGGACCTGTGGCTAGCGCAACATCTCTTTGTGATCTGGTCAAATAAGCATTTTATGGCGTCGGACAAATTTACAACCATCTGAGCAGTTTATTAAATCGAAAATTTGTTTTGTTAGTAATCATTAAAAATTACCTTTTGTTAGGTGGATGAACGATCTGGAGTGGTCAGAACTAGAGGTACAGATCTCTTCCAATTAGACATGGAATATGTATTATACGTGAAGGCTGAAGACCAAAATGGAAGAGTAGATGACAAGAGATTCCAGAGTACTCCAGAGGAAAGGCTGTCGATTGTTGGTGGTAAAAGAGCACCACAATTCTATATGCCCAGTTATGAAGCTGAGATTCCGGAAAATCAGAAAAAGGACTCGGAGTAAGTATTCTTTATTATGGATGCTTGCAGGAATTTTCCGAAGCAGTCATATAGCAAAATTATTGTAAATTCAACAAGTACAAGTATACACAAGGTTGTGAAGAGCGAGCTGAAATTGTTCTGAGACGCATATAGCCTAACGGGGATTTTACACTATTTCCTTTCTTTGAAAGTATAGGGCTCTATCAATATTATGATTTCTAACAAGCTTCCGGCAATATTCCAACAGAAACTGGCGCCCTGGCCCGCAATATTCTGTCTTATACCAAATTCATTTTCGATGTGCGGTAGATTAAACAATATCAAACATGAGGGGCTAGGCTTATCCGATTCGGATAGATTACAGGGAGTTAAGCTCATATGTTTTGGTAGCATTGTTTGTCACCAAAATTGTGTAGTTTCAGCGCATACTTTTGGCTATAATTTGCCTACCAAAGTAACAAACAGGCGTACACTATTTTCTCTGGAAAGAGTATTCGAGTAGCTAATCATACTTTAGGAGCAACACTATCTGGGTTGCCATATGCTAGCTCAGTTACTGTTAATAAACAGGAACAAACCAAATAACGCAAATAAACGATAGTAAATATTTATTAACAGTACAATTCCGTTTAGTTCGTGATTTTGAAGTGTGAGCAATACACAACATTCTCTCTCTATCAAACTGCAAACAATGGCGTAGTATCTAATATTGCACATAGTGAGCTTCCTTGCATGAATTTCACTCGGCTTTTCTAAATGGTGGTGATCCGACCAGATTATTAGCTTAAAACAAATACCTAGTTGAGCATAGTATGTAAATTCCTGCTATTATAGCATTGTCACTATAGTTGTCGGATAAAAATGTTTGTAAATATTTTATTTGAGCTTCATAGTTTCATTTTGCCTACTGAGATTCCTCTATACAATTTCGTGGCACTAAAACGAGATTGTAAATTAATCCTTTGCACTCAAAATTAAAGTTGATAAAGTGAACTTTAGTTTTGTTTAGTTGGATTAAAGTTTTCGGTTGGCCCTTTTTAATATCTCACAAAAATTTGGTTTGTCTCCGATACTTTGCATTTTTCAATGTTGCTGTTAGTATACAATTTTGTAAAGTAATCTTGGATCGGGACTGAGTGTTTTAGTAAAACGAAAATTGAAATAAAATAAACCAAAATTACCTCACAACTATCCAGGTAAAAGCCCAATGTTGAGGCACATGCCATTTCGCAACGCCGATGACTATAATACAAATATATAAATATCACTTATGTCTACAGAAAGCTTCGCCTCTTTCAGTAATGATTTGGGCCCCGATAGCATTAAATATTTATCAAGCATTTTTAATAGAATGTTAAACATTTGTAGCGTCAGATATTTTAATATTTAATAAATATATTCATTAGAGATATTTTATATATTTTTGCGATATTCTTTCCAAATATTTAGAAAATATACGAGGAAAGATTTTTAAATTTCAAGCTTATATTTTGATGAAATATCTAATATTTTTCGTAAATATGTATAGATTTTCAAGCATTAATCCGATACATACTTTCAGGGTATATACAACTATTGGTTATTTCAGCAAATCTGTAGTAATGCTTTAATAAAATTGGGTTTATAAAGAAAAATTGATTCTACATATATTGATTTAATTTGCTAGAAAAATATCATCAAAAAAACATTCTAAGCTTTTTATGCATCTTGCAAATACACTCATGTACCACTTGGACGTACACAGGAAGCACGCTATCATTGTGAACTCACAGGCAAATGGATGCCGGCAAACGGGTCGGCTCAGGTCGGCTTGCCATTATCCCATTGGTCGCGCGGGGTCACATGCACACGCGCCGTAGCCGAAAATATTTAATGAATATTTTCTAAATAATGGAAATTTAATATTTTACAGTGATTGAAAAGTAATATTTGATGAATATTATAAAGAAATATTGTATTTAACATACTTAAAAGATATTGAATAAATACTTAATAAAACATTCTATTCCAAATATTTAATAAATATTTGTTTATGATAACAAATATTTAAGATAAAAATATTGAATAAATATTTTATGAATATTTCATGCTATCAGGGGGAATACTAGGGTTGTACGGAACCCACGCACGCTAAAATGTTTTCGCAGAAAAGTATGAATGTAACGTGAAATCTCAAAACTGTGTAACTGGCAGTTTAAGCCTGACCGACTTGAATGAATATACATCCTGACTACCGACTATCTAATTTTTTCGACAAACAAATTGTAGGCTTGCTGTTTCTTCTACCGGCCAAAGCCGTATGCAATGCTGAAGCAAGCGATGACGGTATTCACGAACATCTGTCACACCACCGACATTCCAGCGCATCATGAATACGTTAATCAACTGTTACATTTAATATGTCGCTCGAACGACCATATACGTTTGATTGACTTGTGCACATGCGTCTATAAGATTCTACTGGTGAAGCTTGTTTTGACTGACTGCACGTCGAAAATATTTTGATGTGGTACGGATAGCTCGTTGGCAATAAAAGTTGCGTAAGTCGAACGTCACACGTCGCTTTGCTTCGCGTCTCTCGAGTGTTCCCTAGGGATTGGATTCTTTCCCACAATGCTTCCATTACAAATCAACGACTTCCTTCTCTGTACGATGAATCCGATCCATAGCTTTGGTGATGACAGCAATTCACATGCCGGAATTCATTGTACCAAGCTGATCTCTGCCTGTGAGCTGGAGAGAAGAAGACTATCAGCGACTTCCTCTCTGACGAGAGATCCGTTTAATGCTGCCAAAACACCGTACTGTACCTTGACTAACAAGAAGCGCCTAGCGATCATCCGGTTTCAATGGATGGCCAAATTCTATCAGAAGCCTTTGTTCCGGTTGGTCGAGATCACTGAAGACTTAAAGCTAGGCTATTTATTTAGGGCTAAGAAGTACTTTTATCCACACAGTATCTTCAATCTACACAAGGCCAAGATAAGTCCAGGTCTCAAGCACTGATCTTGGCCGTGTTGCCGCCCCGACTACATTATTTCTGCTCGATGCTGTTGGGAGGAGGACTGTACGAGCGATCGATGACTGCTCTCTAGCGGACAGTCTCGAGACCTTTTCGCATCGTTGGGCCCTCAACGATCTGGCCCTCTTCTACCACTATGTCCACGGCCTTTCCTCCTTAGCGCCCGCCTTCTGTCCTAACCACGTCGAACTTCATACATCCTGAATTTGTCAGTACGACCGCTCCTCTGTCCCTAAGGTGTCTGAACAATTTCACTGAGGAGGTTTTTCCCAGTTCTACTAACCGTAGACAGTTCATTAATCGAGTTAACAAAGTCTCTTTAAGCTCATTATGGCAGCTGCGGTGTCCCGGTATTTAGGCTTCTGCCTACACGGCGGCTTCGGTATAACAAAAAGTAGCAAAATTTCCATTTTTGTAACTTGTAGTTGCAAGCAAACAAACCTGGTGCACTTGGGTAGTTTGGGACGCTGATTTCGAGTATCTCATTAAACATAATGGGTACAAGGGGAAATTGACGAATGTCACAAAACGTATGCTTTGAGAAAAGTGAATTTAAAAGTTGTACAGGGTGGGTGAAGGATCTGACGGAGTACCATAGATTTCCTTTTATAAGAAATTAAAAAAGTTAAGCTATAAATAAAAACATATTTTTTGATATACAGGGTAGCCTCAACTGAAACCAGACCAAACATTTTTTAATATAAAACCCTTTTTATTTTTGTACTTTGAAATTCTCCTTATGATTTTAGACATTTTTTATGCGTTAGCGTCCATGCCTCAATTCAACTTTTTTGAGTCATTGAAGATAGAAGTGAGCCTTTTGTCATATGCGACACCCTGTAGAATCTAAGTGTTGATTAACCGGCAAAATGCCTATCTTAGGTTTTACGATCTCTCCTAATATGAGAACTACCTTAACAGGAAATTTATTACACAGTTCCTTCAATATACGACATTTTTTAACCTCAATGGCTTAAACACAGAATTATTTCTAAGTATTTTTTTAATTGGGACAGGAAAAAAAACAATGAACCAAAAAATCTTCATTCAGAAGAATATAGAACAAACACAACAAAATCAATGGTAACTGCTTAAAAATGATTACTTGACGTTTATTTTTTTCGTCGCAGATTGGTGTATGGTAAATTGCTTCAGTGAAGATCAGTGCACGTTCATCTTTTTCAATTGGGGATAGCGACGAACTGCCATTGTTTCTGCGTGTTTCCGATACCTCATGGGATTGTTTTGCGTTAAGACTACATGTTGCCTACAAAACAACAAATTTGTAATATTCATAATTTTTACCCTGTTTTGGAACTTCTTCGATATATGGCAGCAAAAGTGACGAGACATGAAGACCGAACGAACTACATACTTTGTTGATGTATTATCATTTCTCTTACCTCTGGTACTGTAGCTTTCCCTTCTCCCCCTTCTTCTCCAATGGTCCCGCTTATTCGCAGCGCGACAAGTTTAATGCCAGAAGTTGGTAATTAGCTGCCAGGATCAGAGGCACCCGGTGTTGGGAAAACTTGTATATTAATAAATATTGCGGTTTATGCTCAGAGCTTAATCGATCTGTTAGAATGGGCCCCTCGGCTCTTGGTCTAGTTCACAGAAGCTCTGCAAGCTAACAATACTGGTACTCAGCAAGAGCATAAAAAAACTATCAATGTACAGAATGTTAACCTGACTACGTGTAACTGAATGTTCCGGAAACTAAAGAAGCCCTGAGAGATGGAAATATAAAAATGTAATTTCGTAAACGTATGCTGGTTGTGACCATTTTTTCCAGTAATTGATAAATCATTCTAAATCTCAAACGTTCGTGTGTTTTCCTATACGATGGTCAATCTGGCGAATGCCTTTTTGTGGAAGCTGTAGAAGCTTGTGTATGCCAATGTCATGTATTTTTGGATTTCCAACATGTATTGAAGGTGTCATTGCTTCCCATCCCAACAAGTGGTACTCAGTCCCCACTTTCCTGTTTCATAGCCGAACTGAATCCAAACTTTCTTATCATTTGTACTACCTGTTGCAGGACTACGTCGCAAGGTAGTAGACGATACAGAGAAAGGAAGCAATCTGACAAGTAGTCTCTTAAAAGGAGTGAGCACTTGTTGAAATAATATATTTATTATGAATATATACTAAGTGACATATAAATCCGAACACCCAGTTTAAATGGTTTTATTTTAATAAAAGTTGGTGAATGCATTTATCTTACTGTAAATAACAAGTGAAAAAATTTTCACCCTTATCAGTTGGACATTCCGGTTTTTATACTGCTTTTTTTTAATTCACGAACGCTCTAAAAATGAATATTTCAGCCGCAGTAATGAATCAATGTTGGCGGAATTTGGTTCTTGACATCCTTTACGATCGGTTACGATGCCTAGAGTACGGAGACCTGTACGATTTCGTCAACTTAGTGAGTTTGATAGGGGCCGTATAGTGGGACTTCGGGAAGCTGGACTTTCTTTTCGGGCAATTGCAGTTAGAGTGCAAAGAAGTGTAGACACTGTGGTTAGGTGTTGTCAGGCACGGCTTCGAGAAGGCCGTACGCAAAGAGCAAGGGGCACTGGACGCCGCCGTAGAACAACAGACCGTGAAGATCGCCGCCTAGGATTACTGGCCTTAAGGGACCGTTTCTCCACTACCAGGTCCATTGCAAATGAATGGTTTGCAGAACACGGAAGACCTATTGGCATGCGAAGTGTTTACCGACGAATGAGAAGTTTTGGCTTGTTTTCATACCGGCCACACTGGGTCCTCCCTTTAACTCGAGAACACCGACGTAATCGCCTTGAGTGGTGCGGACAACGGTCACTCTGGGATCAGGAATGGAACAGTATTGTCTTTAGTGACGAGTCTCGATTTTGTTTAGGCATGTACGATGGTCGTGCCAGGGTTAGAAGGCGACGTGGTGAAAGGAGGAATCCACAGTTTTTTGTTGAAAGACATGTTCATCACACTGTTGGAGTTGTGGTTTGGGGTGCTATAGCTTATGGTTCCAGGTCACCTTTAATCTTCATCAGAGGTAACATGAACGCGCAGCGTCATATCCACGAAGTTCTAGAACCCCATCTTTCACCCTATCTTGACACCCTGGCAGATCCAACTGTCCAACAAGATAATGCCCGACCACATGTTGCAAGAGTCACAATAGACTTCTTTCAACATAATGATGTCACATTGTTACCATGGCCACCAAGATCTCCCGACTTATCCCCAATTGAGCACGTGTGAGATATGCTGGGTAGGTGATTGCTCAATTTGCAACGTCCTCCTCAGACTCTAGAAGCACTTCGAGAGGAGTTGGTGGTTGCCTGGAATGAGATACCACAGGAGGACATTGACCACCTGATCAGAAGCATGCCTAGGCGCGTTGGAGAATGCGTAGCACATCAGGGTGCATCCACACATTATTAAAGGTCAAAGGGCTTTAAAGCAGTGCAATAATTTTGAAATTTTTATCATTTACTTATTATGCTTCATTAAGTACTTATACAAAATTTTATTAAAATAAAACCATTTAAACTGGGTGTTCGGATTTATATGTCACTTAGTATATATTATGTCTCCAAGGCAACGTACGATTTATGATATGTTACTTAATGAATATTGGAGTTACTGAAAGCATATATTAAATTAATGTATTAAAAATAATTACTTGTAAATATCACCCTCGGTACTGATTCTCATTTTATTATAAAGCGTAACATCTTGGGCTACTGTTGTAACAGTTGTAGACCTAAACTATAAGCTTTAACAGATTTAAATTATCACAGAGATATTAATGGACAAACATTATCATAGAACTAGATTATACTATAGTATAGTATAGAATTAGATAATTCCATACTCACCCTATATGTCGATCTTGCATCCAGTGACTACAACCGGATCCCTATTTTGAAATAATATTTGACGAAGCAATTCAGTTTTGGCCACGTAGTGAAATATGAGATTCAATGCGTCTTCAAGAAACTGGAGGCATGCCGGAATGATGAACCTGACAGACAAAAACTGTCTCATTGTCTACAAAATACTTAGGCTTCATAACGCTGTCACCTTTCGGAAACAAATATTAGGAACGCTTACTATTGGAATTACTTAATGCAATAAATGACTTCACCGGCTTTTCAGCTACCGCGTTAGTGTTTCTCACAGTACTTAACTACCTTAATATTGCAACCTAGTGAAAAAAAAAAATCATATGATCCCATTTATATGAGCTAAGGTGATAATCAATTTGGAGCCACTTGACCAATGTCTCAGAAGTGTGGAGCTCTTTTGTCATTACTATTGAAGTATCATGACTTCGTAAGGGTCACTAGGCGACATAAATACTAAAAACAAAAGTCTAACTTTATCGCGGTATAGTAATAATCTGATATTGCAATTCTGTGCGGCACTTTTTGCTTGCTCTGCACTTTTGTTTCAATTATGGCTAAGAGACAAAATGATGGAAACAATCGAAAAATCGTAAGTTGTCGGGCTCTTCTGGAATGATATTATAGAATTGTAGATTATTCCTTTAAAATCTTGTTGTTTGTTCTCTGGATAAATATTATTTGAAATTGAGACGTAAGTCCTACTACCACACATATGTCCACTACATGTATTTCTAGCATAATCTCTGAGGGAGCGAAATCCATCTCCGACAGAGAAATCTGCTACACAGTGACTACAACCTGATCCCTATTTTGAAAGAATATTTGACAAAAGGAATTCAATTTTGGCCACGAAGTGAAGTATGAGATGCAATGTTTCCTCAAAAAACTAGCGGCGAAGTGACATAACACAAAAAAACTGTCATAGTGTCTACAGAATGCTTAGGCCTTATAAAGCTGTGTCACCTTTCGGAAACAGATATTAACGCTTACTGTTGGAATTACCTAATGCAATAAATGACTTCACCAGCTTTTAGCTACCCCGTTAGTCTTTCTTACAGTACAGATTAAAAAAGATAACTAAAAAATGAAACTAGGTACTCCAATATTGGAACCTAATAAAAAATATCACTTGAATCGTTAATACCCCATTTATAAAGGAGCCAAGCAACATTAGTTATATGATAATCAATTTGTAGCCACTTGATCAATTTCTCAAAAGAGTGGGGATCCTGTGTCATTACTATTGAACTGTCATGACTTCATATGGGTCAGCAGGCGACGTAAATACTAAAAACAGTATAAGGCTGTCTGTATCGCGGTATAGTAATAACCTGATATTGCAATACTGTAGGGCATTTCTTGCTGGCTCGTGTACGTTAGTTTCAGTTATGAGAGAAAAAAATGATGAAAACAATCGAAAAATTGTCGGGCTCTTCTGGAATGATAGCATAGAATTGTAGATTATTTTTGTAAAATCTTGTTATTTGTTCTCTGGACAAATGTGATTTGAAAAATGTGACACAAGTAAACCTAAATCCCTACAACCACACAGATGTCCAATACGTCTATTGAACGGTAATTTTTTCTAGCATAATCTCGGTGAAAGCAAAATCCTTCGCCGACAGAGAAATCCGCTACACACTGAAAGCTCAAGGGCAAGGTGCTGGCACATTCAATATTGGACCCACATCTGGTATAGTGAAACTGGCCAAAGAATTGGACTTCGAAGATCTGAGGCAGCCACATGTCTATTCTTTGGTTGTAACTGCAACAGAAGATTCCGGTGGATTTTCCACTTCTGTTGAGGTAAGATCGTTACTATGTAGGAAACAAGCTAGTCGTTATTAGTCAAGGACAAAAACAAACATATTTTCAAGATATTTTCCGATTACATCTAGTTATTGATTATGAAGCATCCACCTTGCTTTGATGCTGTTGAATTTCAATCCTAATTGTCTGATCTTTTAAAGTTAACCATCCGTGTAACCGACGTGAACGACAACGCTCCCAAGTTCGAGCTTCCTGACTACCAAGCACACAACGTCGATGAAGACATACCACCTGGAACCAGCATCTTGAAGGTTAAGGCGATGGATGCCGATAGTGGTACCAATGCCGAAATAGAGTACTTTGTGTCAGATGATCACTTTAGCGTGGACCCCAGCGGGATTATATCTAATAATAAACAGTTGGATGCCGATAATAACAATGCTAACTATGAGTTCAGTGTTACTGCTAAGGATAAGGGAGAACCATCGAAAACTGGAACAGCGACGGTAAGTAGAAATTCTTAATTGGACATAGCAGGCATTTAAAATTATAGTTAGACTTTATTACAAATAATTTGCTGATGCACGATGTGTTTCGCCATTGGCAAGCTATCTACTAAATTAAGTAAGGACTATCCATTGGTAGTAATATTGGGGTGGTGAAGTGTGGCAACAGGGCCACTCTTTCTGACCTTGGTCATCAATACTAAAACTAACTAACAACCCAACCAGCATGCAGACTTGATGTTAAGCTTACCAGATCTTTCGAAGAAGGTCAGAACGATTTGTTTAATACATCTCTTCTCTATCAAACTTTGTCATGTGTAATATATCAGCTCTATAGCCTTCATATAGGACAAACCTACTTCGGAAGCGGAATGGTGTTTCATCATTTTCCAGGCATTTAGAGCAGATAATATCTTTTTCTATACCCATACGGGCCAAATGTTCATTTGATTTGAAGTGCCCTGTAAAAAATACAACTAAAAGATCGAGAGACTATCTGTTTGTCCAATAGTCATAGTGCTGGGCTCTCCATGGACTTAATTTTACATAACCATGCTTCTGCCAGTTCTCTGTTTGCCCATTAGTCTAGTGCAGTATTAGCCTGATATCTGATATTTCTCAGCTTCCATCCGAAGTCAGTGTAGAAGCCCCTCGCCCTTAGTTTCACCAGATGATCCTTCCGTTAAATGGTAGACCTCTGAGACCAGCTATCCTCAATAAGTTATAAGTTAGAGTTACTCTGTAATTCTGTTTGCTTTGTCAATTTGGATGATCAATTGCTATTTCGTAGGTGAGAGTCTACACAAAGAACAAAAATGACGAAGAACCCAAGTTTTCGCAGCAAGTATACACTCCAAACGTCGACGAAAACGCTGGTCCAAATACTCTAGTAACTACTGTCGTATCCTCAGATAAAGATGGTGACAATGTGAGGTTTGGTTTTGTTGGAGGAGGCACCACTGCTGGACAATTCGTTATTGAGGAGATTACTGGTAAGTAAAAACAATAACATATAAACACACCGAGCAGGGCAAGCCAAATAGCCTTAGAAAGACACAGCTATACCTTGAACAAACTGTTAGACTGCTATAACACCTTCAAGATATGTGCAAAAACCATTACATGGGACCAATGACTTTTTTATACAGAAGCAGAAGCGAATGCAGAAGCCTAAATACCACCCAGATAGCATTAAATATTCATTAAATATTTAAATAAATGTTTGTTAAATATTTGTAGCGACAGACTTTTTCATATTTAATAAATATACTAAGTGACATATAAATCCGAACATCCAGTTTAAATGGTTTTATTTTAATAAAATTTTGTATAAGTACTTAATGAAGCATAATAAGTAAATGATAAAATTTCAAAATGATTGCACTGCTTTAAAGCCCTTTGACCTTTCATAATGTGTGGATGCACCCTGATGTGCTACGCATTCTCCAACGCGCCTAGGCATGCTTCTGATCAGGTGGTCAATGTCCTCCTGTGGTATCTCATTCCAGGCAACCACCAGCTCCTCTCGAAGTGCTTCTAGAGTCTGAGGAGGACGTTGCAAATTGAGCAATCTCCTACCCATCATATCCCACACGTGCTCAATTGGGGATAAGTCGGGAGATCTTGGTGGCCATGGTAACAATGTGACATCATTATGTTTAAAGAAGTCTATTATGACTCTTGCAACATGTGGTCGGGCATTATCTTGTTGGAAAGTTGGATCTGCCAGGGTGTCAAGATAAGTTAAAAGATGGGGTTCTACAACTTTGTGGATATAACGCTGCGCGTTCATGTTACCTCTGATGAAGATTAAAGGTGACCTGGAACCATAAGCTATAGCACCCCAAACCATAACTCTAACAGTGTGATGAACATGTCTTTCAACAAAAAACTGTGGATTCCTCCTTTCACCACGTCGCCTTCTAACCCTGGCACGACCATCGTGCATGCCTAAACAAAATCGAGACTCGTCACTAAAGACAATACTGTTCCATTCCTGATCCCAGAGTGACCGTTGTCTGCACCACTCAAGGGTATTACGTCGGTGTTCTCGAGTTAAAGGGAGGACCCAGTGTGGTCGGTATGAAAACAAGCCAAAACTTCTCATTCGTCGGTAAACACTTCGCATGCCAATAGGTCTTCCGTGTTCTGCAAAGCATTCATATGCAATGGACCTGGTAGTGGAGAAACGGTCCCTTAAGGCCAATAATCTTAGGCGGCGATCTTCACGGTCTGTTGTTCTACGGCGGCGTCCAGTGCCCCTTGCTCTTTGCGTACGGCCTTCTCGAAGCCATGCCTGACAACACCTAACCACAGTGTCTACACTTCTTTGCACTCTAACTGCAATTGCCCGAAAAGAAAGTCCAGCTTCCCGAAGTCCCACTATACGGCCCCTATCAAACTCACTAAGTTGACGAAATCGTACAGGTCTCCGTACTCTAGGCATCGTAACCGATCGTAAAGGATGTCAAGAACCAAAATCCGCCAACGTTGATTCTTTACTGCGACTGAAATATTCATTTTTAGAGCGTTAGTGAATTAAAAAATAGCAGTATAAAAACCGGAATGTCCAACTGATAAGGCTGAGAATTTTTTCACTTGTTATTTACAGTAAGATAAATACATTCACCAACTTTTATTAAAATAAAACCATTGAAACTGGGTGTTCGGATTTATATGTCACTTAGTATATATTCCTTATATATTCATAACATATTCATTATATTCAGTATACGTATATAATGCATATATTTTGACGATATTTTTTACCAAATACTTAGAAAATATATGAAGAAAGTCTTTTAAATATCAATTTTATATTTTGATGAAACATCTAATATTTTTCGTTAATAGGTATTTAGGAAATATATATATTTTTATTCTAGGTATAATGGTTTAATTTGCTAGAAAAATATCATTAAAAACATTCTAAGCCTCTTTTGCATCTTGCAAATCCACTCATCTGAAAAAAAAAACTTATTAATTATGAATTATGGAATACATAAGCTGCTTTCCCGTTGTCTTTTGTTTGAGAGAGATTTCCGTCCGAACCACTCTAGAAAGTGGTTACGGTTGAGTTACTCCGAGTAGCTCAACTAGGTCACTGAAGAGCAGCTCTATAATACACCTAAAATGACCCCACATTTTCTTCCTAAGTGAGTTACGGCCAGTTATAAAATTTTAACTGGCTGATTAGAGATTATGAAATCCATTCAATCGTTAAAATCTCGAATAAATTTAACTGGAGAATTAATTTTGATTATGAAACCGGCCCTTAGAGATTTAGTTAACTTTTAAGAAAACTTGATATGTTATATTAGATATCTTGATGAAAACTGACCATGAGTACAACTTGATCCTTTGACTAACTTTCAATGAAAAGGTTTTTAAAAATATACCACTTATTGTTTTTGTGGAAATGTGACTTTTTTGCAGTAGTAATGGGGATAATTTAGCCATGACTATTTTTTTACTGTTAAAATTTTGCAATGTCGCTGCTGAATTTAAAAATTTTAAAATAGTTGTAGCTGATTTGTCCTCTACTACGACAAAAATAATAATAATAATTGAGGTATTTCAAAAAAGCATTTTTGATGTATCTCGATCAAGTTGTGATTATGTGACTCTTCATTGGCATGCTATGAATATAATTGTAGTACCCATTTTCAGATAAATCCAGTAATCTCAAATTGCATATAATTGTTATACTTCAAGGCTAGTTATTTATGCTCGTGTAAATAATTTTATACTCAATTTTCACAATAATGTTTACTAGACAGATAAATTAAGTACAGTAAATATGGCAAAACTTACCCTTTTCCACAAAAAACAGTCAAATAATGTACCACTTGGACGTACACAGGAAGCACGCTATCATAGTGAAACTCACGGCAAAATGGATGCCGGCAAACGGGTCGGCTCAGGTCGGCTTGCCATTATGCCATTGATCGCTCGGGGTCACACGCACATGCGCTTGTGAGGAAGTTATGTGGGAAATATTACTTCTGAGCCCCAACCAAATAGCCTAGTCTAGTCCAGCTTTTTCCCGCGATTGATGAGTTGTGTTCTTGTCAGGTGCTTGATGATCTGGAGATCAACGGCTCTTTCTGTACCAAATTGTTGCGTCCTCCAGCACTGGTAGCCTCCAAGTCTCTCCTTAGTGAGAAAGTCTCTGCTAGCCTTCTTTCCTCCAGCTCACCGGCAGAACTGAATTTCTGCATATAGAGTGCTGTCATCAGCAAAGCTGAGAATCGGATTGATCGTACAGGAACAAAGGTCTTGTGTTTTTGAGAGGAACTATGTTGGAACGAAGGCCGATCCCAGGATCGTGTTGACATTATGGTCAAAAAGGAAGAGAGCCACTCAACTGCAAAGCTTCTATGTAAGGCCACGGGATGGAAGCCTGCATAAGAGGGCAGCATGTCACTGATGATCGAATGCTCTTGCGATATAAAGAGCAACGAGATGAGCCTTACCATAAGACTGGATGAGTTCACTCCACAGTTGGGTGTCGGAAGCTAGGAGGCCCTCTATGGATCGTGGGAGCCGGATACCATATAGCCTCTCGCTAATCAAGCCGTGATATTCAAGATACTCCAGAAGCGTATGCACCTCCCACAGAAATCAGTGCTATAAGTTTGAAGTTGTAAGGGTCAGGTTTCAGATCCCCTTTTGGGATGGTCTGGAAATATCCAGTTTTCTGAGCGCAACTAAAAATGGTTTGCCACTTCGTCCTTCTGTATTTCTTTTTTTATTCTTAACATGTCTATATTACTATGAATCTTCCAGGTGTCATTCGACTTCACAATAAGCCCATATCGCTGGATAGAGATAAGTATGAGCTAAACGTGACCGCGATGGATGATGGATCTTGCTGCGTCAACGGCGATACTACAATACACACCAGTACCGCCGTTGTGGTAGTGTTTATCACAGATGTTAACGATAACAAACCCATCTTCAAAGATTGTGGAACGTATTACCCAAAGGTAAGTGCCTTCCATCCTCAGATAGTCTAAAGCATACTTAAGATAACGTACATTGTCAAAGCATCTAGAAAATTCAGTTTCAGACAAACTGCAAGTGAGCACAGATCCCTCAGGGTTCAGTACTGGGCCGTATATACTTTTAACTTTAATTTAATAACACTTGACATACATGCTGAAGAAATCGGTCTAGAAGTATTTTATTACTATGAATAATTTTATATTCAGACTCTTGTGAACTCTTTGTAATACTAATGAAATTAATTGAATTAATCAAGTTTTTATTGGTCAGCCATATTATAGTGTATTCTTAAAAAGATAAATATCTGTTCCAACCTTCTTTTGGTGTTATTTAGGTTGAAGAAGGTGCTCCAAACGGCTCCCCAGTGATCAAAGTCCACGCAACAGATGAAGACAAGGGCGTAAATGGTCAAGTGAAGTACTCAATCGTCCAGCAACCCAACCAGAAGGGCACAAAGTTTACAGTCGACGAGGAAACTGGTGAAGTCTCAACCAACAAAGTGTTTGACAGAGAGGGAGATGACGGCAAGTTCGTGTCGGTCACAGTGAAAGCCACAGATCAGGGAGAACCGTCATTGGAGGGAGTCTGTTCGTTTACAGTGGAGATTACGGATGTTAATGATAATCCACCCTTGTTCGACAGACAGGTAAGTTAGCAATCATGCAGATTCCTACAAATGTTGATGAAAATTCAGACAGTTGTACATTACATACCTTACGTCAGTGAGCTTTTAACTCTGCTTAAGTCATTTTAGGCCGACTTTAATATTTCAATGTCATTTGATGGAGATAGTTCCCGCGCATTTATTTGACTATTACAACAGCTATTACACTTCACTGACGCTTGGTTGGAATGAACATCTTCTTGATCACCTCCTATTTCATGTACATGGTGGTCAATATATAGCTGACTGATTTGAATTGCGCGCCATTTTTGATACACGCATTTTAGTAGGTGGCTCCGTAGTAGTAGTTTGTAGCACATGTGTTCAATTCATCATGGAGCGCTACACGATCCCATAACGCGCCCGTATTGTGAGAACGTTTTACTTAAATAATCAGCTGATTGTCTCAACGATTCGGAAGCTACGACAAGATTTCGGTCGAAATAATGTGCCCATTGTCAACACTATCCGTCAGTTGGTGCGGAAATTTGAACAAACAGGTGAAGTTAAAGACGTGCCAAGGTCGGGCCCTGTTGGAACTGTTCGTACTCTGGAAATTATCGAGAGAGTTCGTGAAAGTGTAGTGGAGCGCCCTGAGACGTCTACCAGACATCGTTCTCAAGAACTGGGTATTCGTCACACGTCATTATGCACTATTTTAAAAAATAGAATTGCATTTGCGGCCATACAAAAATTCAGTTAACCCAAGAACTGCAGCCTAGTGACCATGAAAGTCGCCGACAATACAGACATGCAGTACTGCAGCTTAATACCCAAAATAACGATTTTTACCGACAACTGATAATGAGCGATGAAACCCACTTCGATAAGAATGGATTTGTTAATAAGCAGAATTGTCATATCTGGGCATTAGAGAACCCTCTTGCCATCCATCAACGACCACCACATCCTTGTCGAGTCACAGTTTGGTATGGAGGTGTCATTGGATCTTCCTTCTTTGAAGACACTGCATTTAATTCTCTTACTGTCACTGGCGAGCTCTACCGTGATATGATGCAAAACTTTCTGGCTCCTCAAATCCAACAATTTAACCTGCAAAACACGTGGTTCCAGCAGGACGGTGCAACTTGTCACACAGCTAGAAAAACCATGCATCTTTTGCGAACAATATTTCCGGGACGTTTAATTTCACGGTTTGGTGATATCAACTGGCCACCAAGGTCACCGGATTTAACGGCTCCTGACTTTTTTACGGGGATTTTTGAAAGATAGGGTTTATACCAACAAACCAATTACTGTAGAGCAGCTGAAGAATAATTTTACGGAACCGACTGAAAATATTCCCCCCGAAACCTACCAGAAAGTGATAGAGAATGTAATCTAGAGGGCTCAGGCTTGCGCGGCTTCTAGCGGCGGACAAGTTTCAATAAAAGATTAAGATGAAAAAAATGGACATATCTTATTTCATTTCACAAATATTCAAGATACAAATCAGTCAGTGATATATCGGCCAGCCTGTATATATTATTATTCCTCAATTTTGTAACACAAATCGAAAATATTATCGCCCTATTTATTATTAACAACCTCTCCGTATTAAAGAAATACGTGGAAAACGTGAAACAAGACGCCAGCATAGGCACAAACATCCTGCGTGTTTCCGCTTCTGATGAAGACGCTGACAATAACGGCGCCATCGTGTACACCCTCAATTCTGGCTCTAACCCTGCTGATCTCGATTATTTCGAGATACAACCTGAGTCTGGATGGATCGTGCTGAGAAACCCCTGGACGTAAGTATTTTGTCAACTATGACATCTGCGGGAAGTTTTACATGGAAGATTTTGACATTTTTCAACTGGAGGTGACGTTGAAACCAAAGTGCAACAACTGTGGTGGATCGAAAGTATTGGTTCGGTGTGAAAAGTTGTAATCACTTTCATACCCATTTGATTCGCCTATGATTCCATCGTAACTGCTCGAATCTGTTCCGCGCTTTATCCAAAAATACCGTCATGCTGCATAAAACGATTATCTCCGGTGAGTTCGAGTAAAAACATATGCAATCTGCGTACAGAGATTTCAAGTTGCAACCTGGCAACACAGCAGTTCGATGTTGCACTGATTTGTGAAAGTTACACGAACTTTCGATTTTTCATGTTTATACATCAGTCTTTTAATGACAACTTTCAATTTACTGGATATTCTAATTAGCCACTTTGTGATTCAAAGTAATGGTTTATTTGTTTTTTGAAATAGTAAAATAATAAATGATCTAATAAACTGCAATTCATTTTCCAATGTCACCTCTAGTTTCTATAGTTCTTAAGATATAACTAACTTAGTATGAAAGTGAGCTGAGTGTAGACTTCTAAGAGGTGCTTGAATGGTATCAAAATTTGATAGGGCTCATGGAGGATGGAATGCTTAGGCGAATTTTTGAAAAGTTGAAACTCCTATAGATTTAGACGAACTCTTTTATAATTTTTCTTTTGCTACCTCCTGTCTTCTCTACTCAGACATCGCCATTTTTGAACAATGACACACCAAACAGGTTTTTCTGTAATATCTCCGATCAGATTCTTTTGACGTCTTAAACTGTAGACATTTTCCTATGATTTATATATTAATTATTTTGTGAGATGAATAATTTCGTTTAAAAGTTCGACAACGTTGCTTAATTCGTAGGTTGGTCTCGAAAATTTGGGAAAATGTTTGACTTATGAACCCATCTTTCTTTTAATCAATGCGTGTGGGGGCTATGTCAAAGTAAATACAGTAGCGGACAAAAGTTTGGAAATATTCTTAGTAATTTTTAAAAAGTGCGCCAATTTTTTATTCTTTATTAAGGACTTTTTTTCCTCATGTAGTTTGCTTACAGTCTTGAGGTTACAAATGACAATTTGTGTTTGCTGGGGTACTACATACTAGCACTAAAACACCTTCATATTATCTTATGACCAAAAATGAGACGACAAAAATATGGAAACATACTTTTTATTACAAAACTAAGTAGAATAATTCTACAAAAATGTTCAAGAAATACTGTTAAGCTAATATTTGTTAGCATAACCTGTCATCTGCTAGTCATAGAAGACACAATTGTTTTTACAGTCATGTGCTGGGATATTTTGCTGTTTTCTTTAAATAATCAAATAAATTGTTCCAATTTTTAAAAGTTTTTCTTGTCAGTTGTCTTTTAAGATGTTCCCAGAGATGTTCTATAAGGTTTAGGTCCGGGGACTACGAAGGCCATGTAAGAACATTAATATTTTTTTGTCTTAACCAGTCCTTTACGAATTTTGAGGTATGGTTGAGGTCATTATCTCGCTGGAGGGAGTGTCCATCGTATCGGCATTTCTTCTTCAGCAAAAGGGAGAATGTGTTCACTAAGAATATCTCTGTAAGGTTTTTGATCAATTTTTCCAACAATTTTAATAATTGGACCCGTTCCAGAAGTGGAAAAGCAGCCATAAACCATGATGTTGCCTCCACCGTGCTTAACTGTTGGCAACTGATACTTTTTGTCGAAGCCTTTTCATATTGGATGTCTCATATATGCCGTACCGTCAGATTTTTTTAAATGAGAGGCTTTTGCACTGGACGCCTACCAAAAAGCCCAAAATCCACCAAGCGCCCCTGCACTGTTCTGATAGACAGATTCTCGGCACCCTCTTCTAAGATTCTTTTGAAAATCTGTGTGGCTGGCATTCGAGGATCTTCATGGGACAAACGTTTAATGTAGCGATCCAAAACATAATCGGTTTTTTTCGGTCTTCCGCACCTGGACCGGGTTGCTGTTGATCCTTATTTCTGATATTTACTAATAATTTTCGAAATTTTCCTTTTGTTAATTTTTAATCTTTGTGAAATGTCAACATTTCTGATACCACTTCTAAATAATTCAATTACTTTGTCTCTTAAATTTTTCGAAAATACTTTCACTTTTGCCATTCTTACTGATTTTAATATTTACCGAACGCAATATCAGATTATCGCAGAACGAATAAATACCGCGAAACTGAAACGTTTCCATACTTTTGTCGTTAGAAAAACTGTGGTATATTTAAAAAACGCGTGTTTTCATTTTCAGAGAATTTGAACATTGATAAGATAAACCTTGTATTAGTACGGGAGACAAAGGTAGACTTTATTATTTATATCTGTTCCTTCACAATTGTAATTTAGGTATATGAAATAGTTCATAATAATGTTAATATTTGTTTCTAAACTTTTGTCTGCTACTGTAGATGCATTGATATTTCAAGATTGCCCAAAATATTCCGGGTAAGACTACAAGGTCATTGAGCTAATTAACCATTTTCCGTATTAGATTAAGCTGTACCTCTCTCGCATATTGACACTGTTAGTCATTCAAGAAAATAATCAGCAGTTGAAATGTAGGAATTTTTCTTTGGCATAATTTATCATATAGCAAATTTTGGGTAAAATGAGTCAGAAAGAAGATATTATAACAAACCGTATTTGGGATACATTTTTCCAATATAGCGCCTACAGCAGCAAAGATGCGTGATATTAAAGTGAACATTCTGAAATCGAAAGCTTCAAATGACTTTATGAGTGTCAACACTCAGTCAAATGAGCATCGCAATTTATCAGAGTTCAAATAATAAGTACCTCATTGAACTCTTCATTCAGTGGTGTGTGGGTGTGTATGTTGACATTTCAGGGCAGCCAATTAGAAAAGAAGAGATAAGAAAAAGAACAAGCCAAAACGAGTCGACTACGGCCATAGGTACGACTGGACAAAACAAAATAGCTGCTTCTTTCTCATCAGTTTTCAGCGCACCTTACTTTCAGTTGCTATCCGATCGAATTGTTGTTGATACCATGGCAACGTCTATTTTTATATCAATAAGTGCTTGTACCTTTGAATTCTAAACAAAAACTTGTGCAAGCTCAAGTCTAATTTATAGGCGCTATCCAACTTTACTACTCGACAATTTTTTTTATTTCTTTGGATGAAGTCACTAACCATCCTTTCCTCTTGAATGCTAACATAAGTAACAAAAGGCGTGTTGAATAGGAAGTGCAAAAAATTGGTTTTGTTCCCACATGATTTATGTCTATATTTGTCTTTGAACAGTACTGAGTCTCCAAGGCCAGTCATGCTAATTAATACAACCACACTTATCAGAAAAGGAAAAAAATGATGTAAAAGTAACCGTAAAGCATTGAAGTTTACAAGCACTTATTTCCCATTTACCCTCAAAATACTATGCCATCAAAAAGTTAACGGATACAATTACTAAGCTGTTTGAACGTGTAATTGAATTATATTTTTCACTCAGCTCCTTTTCGAGGGAAGAATAAGGTATACAGAAAAGCTCCTTACTTCAAATGCTAGGTAGTGTTTTTGAATCTTCCTGTTTTTCCGAGTAATTTTCGTTGTCTGAATGATAAATTGGAGCTGTTTGGGTCTTTGTATTTTTTTTCAATCCTGGCAATAATAGCACAACGATCGCTCTTAAAAGCCACTGTATTTTGACAATTGTTCTTGGTTCACATTATGGAGTGGTATTTCTACGGATAGAATAATTCATATAAGTCTCAATGATTTGATCTCTCATGTAAAGATACCTTATTCATCTTGAAATTTACAATGACGTGGTCCGAAATAAAAAGTTACGATGGATGAAGGTGCGTATAATTCCTATAATATATGCTTTCCGCTTCTGTTATCAACCGGTATATGATAACGTGGGCGTCGGACCCTTTTATGAAACTTAAAGGGATACGACCGTACATCATAATTATATGTACGTTGTTATAGTTTCTTTTTATGGTCGACCGAAAATTAACTGTCTTGATAAAATAAATTATTACAACGTTTTTCTTATTTAGACTAATAGTTTTATAGCAGTTCTTAAAAATATCCAATTCCATTTTTATAACAAAACACTTCTCTCACTCTAATAATTTTAAGGTAGAAAATCATACTTTACTCTCCATCTCGTTAAAGATCATTTTTTATAATTTTTGTCGACCGTAAATACGCGAGCTGAAGGTGACTTGGGGCTATTTCCGGTGCTCTCGATGGTTGAGTGTAGGTATGTCTACGGCTAAATCCCCAAGAGGGTGAGAAAGCGGGCTCCGACAACAAAGTCACTAATGGAGGCCGATTTCTATTAAACTCTCCCCCACCCGATAAATCGCAGCCTCGCGTGTGAATCGCTTTTCCAAAATCGGGTAGTGGGCCGCTGAATTCCTACACCAGAGCACCGGAAATAGCCTTAAGTTACCTTCAGGTCTGGTATTTACGGTCGACAGAAATTATAAAAAATGACATTTAACGAGTATGATAATAATAAAAACGTTGTAATAATTTACTTTATCAAGACGCAGTTAACTTTTAGTCGGCCATAAAAAGAAACTGTAACAACGTAGGTAAGGACATTTTCAGAACAGTACATGTCTATTTTTGGCACCACCGCTTACTCAATTTCACAAGTATCTTGTAGATTTCAACACGAAGAACGTAAGTGTGAATGTGTCTAAGGTTCTTGCACGAGTAGTTTCCGAAATATAGGCTTTTAGGTTGTTACATTATTACAGCGTGTTGTTGGTTAGGCACAGGATAATTATTCTTTGATATTTATTTACGCTGTCAGTACCGCAATTCTATCACATGTACAGATCGGTCCAATTTTACATGGATGGATTGCTCTGAAAAACAAACTTCTTGGATTATCTTTCATGTATGTGCATTCACATATTTTACCAAATCCTACAATTTCTAACATGTTCTTAGATACCTAGTCATGTGTGTTTA